ACAGAGGATTAAACACTTCAAGGTATAGAAAGTACAAAGAATAAACAGTAACAGCAATTCATGACACAGCTAGTACCCACTCAAGAGTAGAATGAAACTTACTTATTCTGCAAAAGGATCTCTTTTAAAAGGAAAAAGAACTTCACAGCAAACATCATAGTTTCTAGGCAAATATTGAAAATTTTCTCCTAAGGTCAGAAAGAGAAAATAATTTCTAATATTTTCTGTAATAAAGAAAGAAGTTAAATGCCACAATAACTGGAAAAGAAAAATTAAAAGCATAATATTATGTATGAAAGAAAATCCAAAATAATCAGCAGAAAATGTAGGAGCATTATTAGAATTAATAAAGACCTTAGCAAAAGTCCTTGATTTAGTTCAAACTACCAGTTTTTTTATCCCAACAACAGTAACTAGAAAATAAATTTTTTTTAAAAATCACCATTTATAGTAATGTCAAAAGCTAAAATTCAATACTGTCTCAATCATTTTCTTGTCACTGAGATATAATTTTAGCAAATTAAGGAAGGTGAAGCTTATCTTGGCTCATGCTTCAGTGGATGGTGGACTGGCTTCACTGCAGAATGGCAGAGAGGAGGGTTCTGGCGGTGGATCAGGTGCTCACCTCATGGCGAACAGAAAGCAGAGAGGGCCAGGGAGGAGCCAGGAAGGTAAACACTCAGAGATTTGAAGGGAGTGATGGCTAGGTCAAGTAAAGAGATTGTTCAAGGCAGAGAAGGTGTCTTGTGTGTCCACACGACACACGACATTATGCATTAGCTAAAATCTACAGAGTACATAACAGAAGCATGGACCCTAATGTTAACCGTGGACTTCAGTTAATGACAGTGCATCAAAAGGAATAAGTAAACAAAGAAACAATAAAAGACTGTGGAATAGGCCTAGGCAAAATGGAGATCAGCAGAATAGACCTGAGAGGCCAGAGACTGTCCCTAACCAGGTGTTCTCAGGAAGTCACCTCTGGCCACAGGTCCAAGGTGCTGTCCACCTGTATAAAAGACTGGAAATGTCCTCTAAGGTCACATTTGGTTTCAGATAAGGCCTCCAGAGAAACTCCAGAGATAGCCCAAATCATGGAGACATGCTGCCCTGCTCCTTTTGGTGGGCTAGAGTAAATACTAATTAATTCATTACTACTGGGTTCTCCACTCACAGGCATTCCGCCCATCATTACGGCAGAGGTGATGAAGGAAAACACATGATGTCAGAATGAGCATGCTCAGATGAGATCGAGCATGTTTAGGGTGGTACGGCCGTAGTAGACTGAGCATGCTCGGGAATGTGCCCACTTCCTGAATGAATATGTCCATAGGAATGTTCCCAGTGAACACCCCTTACTCTGTTTGCTCCTGGGAAGGCATTGCTTTGGGAATTATGTCTGGTGCTTTCGTTGTCTGCTGTAGGTGAGAAGCCTCCCTTCACTCTTTCATCTCCTGGGTGAGATTTGTGGCTGGCTTTGCACTTCCAAAAGGGGAAACTCATTGTGCCTGGTTACAGCACCACACAGTTGATCACATAATTGACACAGGTAAAGTGGCACTGCAGTGACAAAATAACTTCCTCTCTGTGAACTTCGATGATCAGTGGGATAAAGAGGCTTGACATTTACCTCACTCCAAGCACAAACGTCAGCTTAGATGGTTCCCAAACCAACATGTGAATGCAAAACACTAAATCTAGAAGATGAGATAAAATATGTCATCATGCCCCAATCCTACTTTATTAAAGACCTTAAGCATTAAATCAGAGCATCTTGCCCCAACAGGTAACATGAAAAGAGTGACACAGTGAGCCAGGGGCAAGGAGGACATTTTTGCCATCTGTTTGCAATATAGATGGCTAACATGCAAAAACAGCATTCACTGTTTTCTTAGTACGAGACAAGAGAATGGAAAATAGGCATAAGACTTGAACAAGTACTTCAAAAAATAATAAAATAAGCTAAATAGGATATCAAAATGGCCCGTAACTACAAAGGTGTCCGGCATTAGTCATCAGGTAAGTGCAGCTTAAAGCCCCGAAGAACCACAGCTGTGCTCTCCCTTAAGCGGCTGCGATTTTAGAAGCCACTGACCCAAGGCCATGGAAAGGCCAAGTAGCAGCAGAGATGCGAGCCAGAGCTGCGGGGAGGAGCCCACAGTGTCAGGACACTGCAGATACCTTCCGGCCAAAACAAAGCCTCCAGTAGGAGCAAGTTCCCTCCCTGGTCACACTCCCACATCCTCCAAGCAGGGATCTAATGAGCAGATGCAGGAAACAACCAACAGACCAATGCTCTTGCTTCCTGCAAGCAGCCCAAGTATCCATTGGAAGGACAAATCAGTGCCTTGCAGTGGGTACTTCCTTTGGGACACTATCTGGTGATGGGTAGACTGGAGGACAGACGAAAGCCCCAGACACCCTTTTCCAATTCGGGGGGCTCAGATGGACATAGGTAGCCACCTTCCCTGGCAACTTCCCTGCTTTGATCTGATTCACAGCAAAGACAAATCTCAGGCACCATCTGATGTTCAGCTGGATCATTCGGGAAGCTCTTCCAAGACTGACCAGAGCAGACCCAGACACAGGCTGGGTCCCTTGCCACCTGGCCCAAAGGCTGGAGCTCAGAAACGTGCTCTGAGTTGGGACAATCTTTTCCCCACCACAAAGCCAAGGTCCTTTCACATGGGAGCTTAAACTATTCTTGAAAGGGGGGCTTTAAGGTTCAGGAAACTTGAAACTTGGCCTCTGTGTTGAGTGGCCTTGTTTCTAGGGCAACCAGGGGTTGTCATGGAGACTGGGTAATCCCTAGGCCAGGGATGGAAATCCCCGGGCCAGGGTACATCATACTGCTAAGTGACACATATTGCAGGGTGAGTGGGCTGTATGGCTCTCGTTAACCTTAGAGCCACGCTCTGTCCCTTATGGCGTACAGCACAGGGCTGTCTGAGACGGCCTCCTCTGAAGGAGTCCTGAGCATGTGGTCCCGTGTTTACAGACGTGTAGAGAAGAAAGTCAATGGAGCTAGAAGTAAGGGCAGCAGAACATTCACGAAAGGGTGGGAGGAAACATGTGGGCAGCCTCTGGGTTATTTTTATCTTGGTAGCCGAGCTCTGCTAGCACACAGCACATTCATTCACTTGAGCTCCACACTTTGAACACTGCTCTTTTAGCCTCTGATTGTTTAAAAGAAAGGTTCTCCTGAGAGGAACAAGATACTGTTACTAAGTTCACAAAGCGAATTGAAACGCAGAGAATTAAAGATGCTCTGTATTTGTTAGCTTAACTTATTAGATTTACAAGCACTGTGGAAATGCTCAGAAGGTCTGTTTGCTAGTCTGACGATTGGAAAGAAACTCAAATATATTACGTATATTGATACCACTTAAATACTTAAGAGAATTTAATCATCTGTGTTAATAAAATGGATCAAACATTAATCAAAGTTGACTCTAAAAGGATAAAGAAGGTTTGCATTTTGTTTTGTTTTGCTTTGTTTGCAGGGCTGGGGCTCAAACCCAGACCGCACTGTTAGGCAGATGCTCCCCACTGAGCTGCACCGCACTCCCAGAAATAGTTTTCTATGTGTGATTCTAGTAAATCGAATTATTGTAAAAGTCAAGGCTCCTCAGTGCCTCCTGAGTCACCTTTTATGTGATGAGAGTGGATTCTCCGGGATCTTGACAGCATCCCATTGGCACTGTGTGACATGACCAGCACAGACCGGCAGGAGGGACACGAGGAACGCAGAGGTCTCCGTCTGCCCATCCAGCTCTGCATGCCCTTCCCATGACCCTGTTGCTTGTCCCTGCTGTCCGCTGCCATCTGCACTGCAGACTCTTTTCTGTGGGTCCTGTCTCTCCTCCCCTGGCTGCCCATTGCAGCCCACAGTACAGACCCTGAGGAGTCATGCACCTGGGGACAGGCAAGGGCACTGTGCCAGGACTCCGGATCCTGGGGGAGGACAAACCCCCACTGGCCTTGGGACAGGCATGTGACATGGCCACATCCACAGACGGCAGTGCTTGGGGAGCCACAGTGGGCCCCTTCCTCACCAGGCCAGTGTCACAGTCAGGGCCACCCCTGTGTCCTTGGGCAGTCATGGGGCAAAACTGGTCTCCTCTACAATGGGGTCTCTTCCCACTCGGCCCCTGCAGGAGTGGGCTGGACCCGACCCTCTCTGAATCCCACAATCCCTGGTGATAGAGGAAATGAAAACCAAAAAGAATGAAAGAATATGGCAGGTAACGTGGGGCTGGCCACACTCAGACAAGATGCATCCCACTCAGGGTGCAGGGAGGATGGGGAGGCTGGACATCCACTCTGGCCTCATCCACTCCCTGGCTGCTGGCAGTACCAGAGACCCCTGTTCCCCGAGCTCTCCTGGATGGAGGGCCTTCCTCCACACCTTTGGACCAGGGTCTCCCTCATGCAGGCTGTGTCCAGGGTGTGGGGTGAGTACTGGCAGGTTCTGCAGACCCGCTGTGGACAGGAGTCCAGGAACCAAGGGGCAGGAAAGTGGAGAGCAGGTGGTCGGCCATGCCTGTGTCTGCTCCTTCCAGGAGAGAATCTGAAGATGGCAGACCCAGGGGTGGAAGCTGACAGCAGTTTCCCTGGATCAGGGACCCAGGAGAGGAGCAGCCCATGTGCCATCCCTGGGAGAGACACATCCCGAGGGCTGTCACCCAGGAGGCCACACAGGGCAGAAGCAGCACTGGCCTCAGGAGCCTCTTTGATAAAGCAGAGACCAGTCCTCCTTGTGTCAAGGAGCCTTGGGGGTGAGTACCAGGGAGCTGGGCTCTGATCTGCTGGCAGGAGTCTGTAGTGAAACAGACATTGGGACATCCCCATGTGTCCCCATACATCCCCACATGTCCCCAGGGCCCTCTGCCTAGTGCTGCTGCTGCAGGCAGTGCTTCCCCCAAAATCCTTTCCAGCATCCTGTTCCATAAACAGTCACGGGATTTGTGCAACAGGAGGATGCCGGTGGTGTTGCTCACCTGCTGGTAAGGGCTCTTTGCCAGGATGGGCCCGCTGTCCTTTGCTGTGTGGAGTCCTCAGAGCCACCAGGCTGAGCTATGCAGGGACACAGACAAGGGGGCAGTAACTATAGGAGCCGGCAAGGAGACCAGACACCTGCTGGAGAATGGATCCCTTGATGAAACCCTCGGCCCTGAGCCCCTCAGGCATGGGGTGTGGGTGTGCTTCATGGAGACCTGGGGTCCAGCAAAGCCCACCAGCAGATGTGGGTGGGGGATAACAGACATCCTGGTTCAGATGCTCCTGCCTCTGCCTCTTGGTCCTGTCTGAGCCTCAGTGGGCTGGTGATGCCCACCCATATTGTGAGACAGCATCCTTACTCAGGCTGAGGATCAAATGCTAGTCCCTCCCAAAAATGCTGGCCTGCACACTCCCAGGAAGTGTTTGGCCATCCGTCTTCGCACCATGCACAGCTGGCTGGGGATGGTAACCCTGCACATCTCCCAGCACCTGTGTCCTCTCTGGAAGAAGCCTCTGCTCTGGAGAAGCCCTAGTCAGGACTTGGCATCCACCACAGGAAGCTTCAGAATGCAACTGGGAGGACAGCAAATAGACAAACGCCATGTTGTATTTCTGGAAAAGGGAGACTGTCCTGCTAAACTCGTGGACTGAGGGCTTCAGAGAAATGTGGGTTCATGGCTGCTCTGGGAAGCAACAGCCACCTGGCTTCAAATGGCTTGAGCCCTGCTGTCCTTGTCTCATAGCAGATGGAGACCCAGAGGCTGGTGTGCACTCCTGTCCACCTGCCTTCCTGTCCTGTGGGGACAAGGACACTGCTGCTCCTCTCGCTGACCCACACAGCTTAATTGCCATGTGCTCTTGGAGTTGTTAGCTGTGGGGGAACAGAGCAATTTTCCTGCAGAATGACTCTCTTAGGGTGGAAAATCTGAAGTGGTTTTTGCTTTTCTTTTTTGTAATAAGTCTAGAGTTACTGTCCCACCCTAAGTGATCAGTAACTTCTTTGCCCTGCTCCCAAGTCCATGCAGTAACCCTTTCCCTACAGCCATCTCAGGGGACCCAGATTGCCTGTGTCTCAGGCTGCCCAGTGTGACACACCTAAGTTGTTCTTTTAATGGTATTTTCCACCATTGAAAAACAAAAATCCCTGATGGCAGACCCCTTCCCTTTAAGCATGAACCTTATGACATCCTATAAACTGGCTCTGTATTGATTAGGCTTCTTAGGGGAACAGGATCAATAGAAAATATATGGGTAATTACGCAAGGGGATTGTTGTGCTTTATATTTAGCTGTCTCCCCAAAGCCCCATGCCCTCATAGGCGGGGCTTTGGGATTGTGACTGGATCATGGGGGCCTGATCTCACCAGTGGATTAGTTCCCTGATGAGTTTATAGCTAACTGTGACATTGGGAGGTGAAGCCTGGTGGTGGAGGTGGCCACTGGGGGCGTGGCTTGGAAGAGTCTATCTCCTCGCTCCTGCCTTGATCTCTCTCTCCTTCCTGTCTGCCTGCCATGAGCTGTTTCTCCTCTGCCATGCCTTCTTGTCTTGGAGTCAGCCAACTATGTTCTGAAACCTCTACAAATTGTGAGCCAAAAAATAAACCTCTCCTCCTTTCAGTTGTGAGTGTTGGGTATTGTGTTCCAGCAATGAGAAAGTAACTAAGACAAGGATTTATTAGTTAGCTCATGGAATTAGAGGAAGGAGAGTCCACAATGGCAGTCTGCCTGCTAAAGAGCCCAATGACCCAGCAGTGGCTGCTCAGCCAAGAAGACAGAAGACACAGAATGAGAAGGGTCAAGGACATAGCATGGGTCTAAGGTTGAAGGCCTGGAAGCTTCCTGGAGAGTCTCCGGTGCAAATCTTCATTCGAAGGCTGAAGAAACTTCATATTGATGTCCAAAGGTGATGGCAAATGCTGAGCTCTTCCCAAACAGGGATGCTCCATTCTTCTTTCCCCTGTTATACCACCCAGGCTAAAAGCCTATTGATTGATGCCACCCACATCCAGTCTGGGTCCCCCCACCTTGTTTGCTGACTTATATGTCAATCATTCAAAGACACACCCAGGACTGTGTCCACTCATCTACTAGGCCTATCTTAACCCATTCAAGTCCATGTGTCATAAGCAGGGGTCACAGCTCCTCCCTGGTCCTGGACAGAATAAAGGCCATGAGGAGATGACCACATGCTCATCCTCAGAATCTGGGACTATTACCTTTCGTGGCAAAAGGGACTTTGAGCGTGTGGTTAAGGATTTTGACATGGGGGGGACTACCCAGGTCATCTGGGCAGCCCTAATGTAGCCACAGGAGTCCTTGTGGGAGGGCAGCAGGGGGTGAGAGAGGGACGTGGGGTGATGGAGGTGTAGGTCAGACCCAGAGCGACCTGACCATGCCATGCTGCTGGCTGTGAAGACAGAGGTGTGACAAGCCACCAAATACAGGTGCCCTCCAGGAACCTTAACGCCGTGGAATGGACTGTCCTCTGAAGCCTGGAAAAGGACCATGACCAAGGACTCTGCACTGTAAGTTAATAAATCCATGTGGTTTTAAACCATGAGGCATGTAGCAATTTCCTACAGCAACAACTGAAATTTAAGGCAACCTTCAGCCACCTTGCCCGTCTCTGCTTCTCAGCCCTGGCCCTGATTCTACCTTCCCTTTGTCCTCACTCTTTGTCTGACTCACTGCTGCCCTGAGAATCCTGTCTGGGAGAGCCCAGCACACTCTCCTGTCTTCTCCATCGGGAACACCACCAGGCCTTGTGTGGCGATGACCAGTGGCTCCATTTGGAACAGTGTCTCTCAGCTGGGGCAACCAGCGTGACAGCTCCCGATCTCACAACCAAGGAAAGGACTGGCAACTCAGCTCCTCCTCTGCAGGGGGCTTCCTGGAATCTTCCAATTAAAGGGATGTTAATCACTCCTGGTCCCAGGCTCCTCAGTCTCCTGCCTCCTGATAAGGCTGCTTGGAGAGCACTCAGGTGGGATTTGTCCTGGACAGGCTCTCGGAGACCTACCTGAGCGCATGTGCTGTGGCTCCCTTCAGAGACCACTGTGATTATGCTGTGCTCCTCGTGACACTTTACATCCAAGCAGGAAATTGTATAATCCCTTTAGTGACAATTAAAAGGAAGGATTTGCCTGCGGGTCATCAGAGAGCACTGGAAACATCCCAGGCTGTTGTTGCCTTTTTCACTTTAATCCCGCTATCTGGCTTCCTCGGGGCCCTTTCTTTATTACTTTCAAAACCTTATCAAGGAGGAAGGAAAACAATCAGAACACCTGCGTGATGGGTATCTGGCGAGAGCTGGGATCCAGCTGAGCTGCGCAGGGAGCTCTACACCCAGAAGGTCCTCCCGTGAAGGACCAGAGGACGTGCCCACCACTGCCTGGCCCTGCAGCAGAGTGGAAATGGTCCCTAATCGATGGATGACATTTGTCAAGGGCAGGGTGGAGAACACCTGGTGCCCAGCCCTCTGGATTCCCAGAGGCCAGGAGAAGCAGCCCAGCTCCCAGACCACAGCAGCTTCAGCATGCTCAGGTAGCCCATTTGAAGGTGTAGGTGTGCTTTACAGAATGCATGGGAAGAGAATTTGGGGGGAGTGGCAGAACATAATTTCCTAAAAGGACAGTTCCAGGGCTGTTCAGAGGACTGGAAGGGGCAGGTATCTGCCTGGGTTCAGAATGAGGATGATGCGTGCTGAGTGGGCACAGTGCCTGCTGTGTGCCTTGAGCACGTCTCTGAGTGACTCCTTTCTCCCTCCCTGCTGGATCAAATGTGCACACTGGTGAGCGCAGCCGCTCCCCAGGGGCCTTGTCCATAAAGTATGGGTGTCAGAGTCATGGTGTCCAAGAGCCCATGAGAGGACCAGGCAGGTGCCCACCTCAGTCTACAGAAAAAGGCTAGGCCTCCCAGGCGGTGGATCCCACTTCCTCCTGCATGCCAGGGTCTGCCCTCTGCACGCCTGCCTTGGGGAGGAGACACTTTCTCACTGGGGCCTGGAGAGAGGAGTGCGAAACCTGGCCCAGCCCCCTCCCTCCTCCAGGGACAGAGCAGCCCCTGCATCCAGCATCCTACAGAGCAGCACCAGAGGGGATGCAGGGCACTGCCCACTGTGAGCATGAGACCCCACGATAGGCTGATGGGAGACTAACCTCAGCTCCTTTCTGGGTCCAACCATTCCTTTGAGATTTCCTATCTCCTGGTGTCTTTTCACTTGAAGTCCAGTGTCATTTGTAAGCCCTGTCAAAGTCCACCTCCAAGGCTTGGTGAGGCCCCTAACACTGGGGCACATCCAGTTTATGGAACCTCAGACCTGGAAGCAGTCAGGCCTCCGGCCTCTCCTGGGCTTGACTGTGGTCTGTCCCCTTTGAAGCTAGTGATGAAATCTACATCACTGTGAGCCAGCAGTAGGCCTTGAACCTGCAAGTAGATGGTGGGGTCAGAGGTTCCTGCAGGTTGAGCCCAGGCATTACCAGTGAGGCCGCTTCTCTGCTTCACCTCCTCCACCAATTCCACCCTGATGTACTCTGATGGGCCCAGGCCTCTCCCTGACACAGCCACCTAAGCCCGGACTTCCAGGCTGCAGAACTGGAGCTAAACAGACCTCTCTCCTTTAGATGTCTGGTTATTCCAGCAGAACATGGATGAAGACACTACTGCTAATGCCTGTTTGGCAGAGGACAGGCTGCCATCACCCAGCCCCGCCCGAACACCTCTTGGTGACCTCACTGGTGGCCATGGGGGCTGGGGCTCCTCCAGGGCTCAGTGAGGCCACATGCACGCTGCTCACCTCCCAAACCCTGCCTCTTGCAGGATCCTATCACCAAGCACCCAGCAGAAAATGAGCAGGTGCCGATGCTGACTCCAGCCAGAGCTTGGTGTGGAAAGAGGCTGGTGGGAATGGTCAGGTCCAGCCCTGAATGGTCAGCAGTTAAGCCCAGTCCTCCCCACAGAGGGCTGAACATGCTGCCTTCCGGAGCCCTTGGGGTTGCCTGGTGACTGTGGGTACAATGATGGGCCCTGAGGGCCCTGTCTCCTTGGTGATGGGGCTGCTGCCCTCCCACAGCTCAGCCCATCACACACAGGGACAGCACGAGGGACACACCTTGGGGGCCTCAGCTTGGTGCCTCAAGGGCAGCCCAGGGGCCACAGATCTGGGAGAGGTGAGAGAGACCTGAGAAAATACCAGTGAATGGTAGAGTTTGTGAAGATAAATCCCTGGGCAGAGGCAGGTAGGCAGGCGAGGAAGAGAGAGGCAGACTGGACATGAGGCGGCTGCATTGTGGGAGGGAGACTGAACTCAACCCATGGAAGCAAAGTGGGGCATTTGCTGTCGGGGTGAGCTGGGGAACAGGTACCAAGAACCTCAGGGGTGAGGCAGTGTGAGGGATCTGTGCTTGCTGCTGCCCTTCCTCAGTGAGAGGCTCCTGCACCTCCAGGGGACAGGGCCCCAGCAGCAGCTTCCTTCCAGTCACAGCACCAGGGACAGCTCCCAAGGTTGGAAGTGATTTGCTGCTCAAGGGGCTGGCACAGAATCTACAATCACCGTCTCTTCCGGTGTCTGCTCTGAGAAAATGGAGATGAGAGCCTCGAGGGAGAAGAACACCTTTGTCAGGGGCCACAAGGACACTCCCCTCTGGGGAGTCACAGGGTCATTAGAAGGGAGGAGACGGAGGCCCAGAGCAAAGGAAGACTGCAACAAGGAGCAGGTGCACTTGAGCACTCAGACTCCATCCCCAAGGCAGATGGAGTGGCTGAGCAGGGCCCTGGGATGAATGGGCCAGGAGGCCATGAAGCCACAGGACACTTCCCCAGGAGGTTCTGTTACTGGGTGGACATGTGGAGCCCTCAGCCTGCTGACCAGGATTGTTGAGCCAGGCTGTTGAGCCATCCAAAAATACAGTGCAGTACAGCAAGATGCAGTGTCGTACTATTACAGCCAGCTAAGTTAGATAGAAATACTATAGGCAGTCAGACAGAGTGAGGTCTTTGAGGGAGGTGGTGCAGAGCATGAGAACACATCACAACTGTGGCCGGAGGTGCATCTGTCAAAGGCCAGGCCTCAAGATAAAGACGGAATGACCAGGCCTACATACTTCCCTGGGGATAAGATAATTGATATCACCTGATCCAATAAAGTCTAGATAGACATCAGTCACCCTGGTGGGTGACCAGGATCTCCTGACCCATCCCTTCCTTAAAATCTCCTTGTTCTTTCCATGTACACCTGCTGCATCACCTGCTTCCCCATTAGATCAATATGACCTAAATGGCTACCTTGTAATCTTATTGGTTGATCATAGTTTTGACCCACATTGTATCTACCTGGTGGTTTTGTAGCCACCTCGTGAGTTTTGCTCTATAAAACTTCCTCTGTGAAGCGTGCTCTTTGGCAACCCTCTTTTGAATCATCTCCTGTCTCTCAGGAGCTATCACTCTCAATACATTCTTCCTACTCTTAACCTCCATTGTTCCTTAGAATTCATTCTTTGATTTCAGGGAACATGAGCTCAGAGTATCTGACACCTAGCAGGTTGGGAGTTCAATTGTTTCCCTATCTAAGTACCATAGGTATTTTCAGAGGAAGAGACCATATTCCCACCACTTTTACTGTAGTCCGTTATTATAATTGTCCTGTTTTATTATTCACTGTTATTATTTTCTTGCTGTGCCTTCTTACATGTTAAGCTGCTCCTCCTGCCTATAAAATACTCCCTACACATGGGCCTCGCCGGTCCCACATCTCCTACCTGCCACCATCATAACACTGCTTCTTCCTCATTATTTCCCACACTCTCCATGCAAAATCCAACAAACAAGTTGCAGATGTCTCATTTAGAGGGGAAGATGGTGGCCCTGCAAGGGTAAGTGACCCATCTACAGTCACACATGGACACATGGCCAAGATAGAATTCAGCTCTGGCCCACCTGCCTCTCAACTCCCAGGTATCCCTGCATTGGGCTGGAGCAGAAGAAAGGGCCATGCATTCCATTCCCACCAGGAAATGCAGCAAGTTGGAGGTGAGGTGTCCCAAGCTTTGCCTAGGAAGGGAATGATGTGCTCCTGGCTCCTCCCTGCAGCCAGGGTTGGGGACCAGGGACTGTCAGTAGGGGATCCTGAGCCATTGGGCCTGGGGGCCTTGGGCATCTGGAGCTGTCAGGACCCCTGGCCCACCCCACTGTCTGAGACTCCAGGGACACAGGATGGAGGAGGCTGGAGCAGCTCCCACCTTGACGGGGCTAAGCCATGGCTGAGACTGGATTTTTGAGCCCGGCCCTCCAGGAAGCCCCCAAGTACGAACCACTCACCAGCCCTCTAGCCCTGTCCAAATCTCATCCCCTCCATGCTTAGAGCAGGTGTGGGGTCCTGACATCAGCAGATGTTGGTCCTGAAGCCACAGCCATTGGCCATCCTACCTGTTGTGTCCCTCCATCCCTAAATTGTGTCACCATAACATGGGTGTCAGGGAGACTGAAAAGGGCTCTCCCAGTCTGGGCTCCAGCCACCCTGGGGGTTAGACATTCTCTCTGAGGGGCTACCCATGACTACCCATGCATGTGTCCCCAGGGCCAGAGTGTGAGCTCAGGAACTAAGTCAGCACCAGGCTTCTCAGACCTCCCTGTGGGTCAGAATTGCCAGGCACATATGTCCCTCAGGACTGAGGGCAGGGACCTGGCCTCTGTGCCATCCCCCTTTCTCTGGATCCCTGAGAGCTAGGGTCTCATTGGACAGAGGCTGGGTCCAGTTTGCTCACAGGGTGAAAGCCAACCCCACTGGGACCCCATGGGCAGGGGCGGCCTTCTGTCTTCAGCATCGTAGAGGTGGATGGACAATGCCAACTAGAGGGACAACAACAGGGAGGGTGGGAGGCGGCCTGAAAGGCAGAGCCATTGACGAACCCCAGACCTGTTCACAACCCCCCTGCAGCCTCAGCAGCCCCAGGTCCCTGGGGTAGAGGCTCAGGCTTTGTCACAAGCCTGCCCTGAGAGCACATCAACTCAGTCAGCAGACACGAGCGCACACCCTCAGCAGCCGCTAGCTCATCCTGTCCTCTCTGTAGTTTCTGCTCTAATTGAACAGATGGATGCATGGATGGAGGGATGGACGGACGGCTGAAGGAGCAGAACCCCGATAGATCAGGACTTGCTCGATCCTCATGTGTACAGCTTTACAAAGCTGTGACTTAGCCTCTAAGTCCCTAAGTAAACTCGAGAGACCTCAGTTTCCCTGGCTGTCAATGGAGAAATAAGCCTGGGTGATGCTCAGTGCCTCTCCCAGCACTCCAAGTCACTGATTCTAATGTACACACTAGACAGACAAATTCATGACCATTTATACACTCCACGGCACTAACCTTAGAAGGGAAAAAAATATTAATGATGTGAAATTCAAAAACAAAGCAAAAACCCCACTGTCAAAATCAGAGTTAGTTCTGTCAGGAAGCAGCAGAAGCCTGGACGGCTGATGGGATGAAATCATCTTTGGGCTCATATTTATTCATAGGGCTGGTTTGGCAGCATAGGAATTCTCTCCCCATCAGCCTGGCTGGAAAGGCCTGGGAGGGGCAGCTTTCAGTGACCTGAGCAGAACTTGACCTTCTGCCTGCTCCTTCCTGGAAGGTATGTGGTGGCCTCAGCCAGCCTGGGCTTCTGTCCTGCAGGGCCAGCCCAAGAGCAGTGCACAAGTGTGCAAGAACCAGAGCATCACACTGACTGCTCCCTGCAAAACCAGGGGAGCCAAGTACTAATATGCCTGCAACTCCATTTGGGAGAGGAGTTACAGTCTTGCTAGAGGAGGGAATTGTTAGGGTGGAGCTAGGGAACCTGCTTCCTAATCCCCGAACATGGCATCTATTCCTTTTTCAATGTGACTGATTTCCAGCCTCTGGGACTCCTGCAGTTCTTTTCTATGGAATTTGCATTGCAATGATTAGAGACTGCAGGGGATTGGAAGCCAATTTTTCAGCTGAGCTTATCATTGCAGAAGTCTACCCAGAATGAACTTCATCTTGTCCCAGGGAAACCTCATTCCACCCTCCCCATGCCAACCTGATACCCACTTCAAAATGAAAAGAAGAAAAGTTAATAAAAATCAAGAGGATCGCCAGAGCCATCACTTAGCATCACTGTGGCAATCAAAAACATGTAAGAATATCTCACAGAAAAGCTCAGATTAAGGAATTACGTCCCTGGGAAAAGGCAGCTTTCTTCTTCAAAGCCTGCTCTATCAAAGTCTCCTGGGAAAGGAAAGAGGGTGGGAGCTGGAAATTGGGGGGTGATGGCGTGGGGAAAAGTCTGGGAAGACAAAGATGTCCTCGCAGTGATGAGGACTCTCCAAGCAAGGCAAGGACGCGTTGAGGTCTGTTCAGAGGCTGCAGCGGGTGGAGAGCAGGGGTGTCCAGCCATCACTGAGTCTCTATGAGGAAACTGAGGCACTGCAGGGAAGGGGAACCAGGGCCAGAGTGAGATCTGCCCAGGTGCCACCTGGTATAAAACTTGCCAAGGCATTAATTTGCTGACGTGACAATTCCACTTGTTAAATGTCACTGAGCTTCAAAGCAAAAGGGAAATCGGTCCACGCGGTCTGTGAAGAACGGTGACTTGCCTGAAGCCTGGCCAGGGTGGATTCCAGGCCATCACACAAGGGGTACGCAGGCTGTGCTACAGGGTCAGGCCCAGCACACCAGGAGACAGAGGGGACCATGAACAAGGTGTCCTCTGAAATGTCTGTGAGATGCCAGCCATCTCACGGGGCCAATGAGGGCTTCGTCGGCCTTCCCCTGCCAGCTTCCTTACGGGACTAGCTTCCCACATACTCATGAAGCACAGAGGAGCTGATGAACTGAGAGTGAGCCCCACATCGACTGCCCTCTGGCACCCTGGTCCCCTCACCCCTCCTCGGCCCAGCACAGCCAACTTTGAAGGAAGCCAGATCAGCTCAATGAGAAGGAGG